CGATGACATCAAAGCACGTACACGGGCTACAGCTGATAACGAGAAAGAGAGATCTTGAAGATGGCGAACGGCGAAGCAATCGATAGTCCTGAGAGAGACTGTTGTCCGTCTAGAAATCGCCGATCATACCTACAATAGAAAAACAATTGTTATTGCACATTTAGAGGATTTAGATGGATTTTGGGACTCGACTTCTCGTCCCGAACAATGCTATCCTGACCATGACTACAGGAATGCTATCACTTGACGGAAAGAAATTCGAAGGATTTTGGACAGGAGAGAATGGCCAGACCAGTATACGTGGATGAGACGACGATGCTGAAGCCAGGAAGAGATACAGAATCCCTGGATGGACTTATGCAGACGATAAGGTATCCAGAGGGAAGCAGTAAAGCTAATGCCTATCCCAGAATTTCAGAAGCTCGAGACACAGGGATTCGGATGGAGCAGACGGTGTTTCCCGAGGGATGTGAGGAAGGTACCATTGTTTATCTCCCACACAGAGAATAGGGCTACCCTGTTGGTGGAGGATCAGCAAGTGTGGAACTCAAACCAGTGAAGGAGAGTGAGACGCAGCAGGACAGCAGTTGGTGGAGCGTTCTGAACGGCATGGCACCGGCCTAAGTTAGCTGAACCACCTACAGAATCTGGCTGGATAGGGTGGATAAAAAACTTGCAGCGCGAAGCAGCGAAGTAAAGTCGGCCTGAGACACTACATAGCTATCGAGATATCTTCGCGGGGCGGGAGATGGTCTCGGCGGAGGACGAATATCGTGAAGCATAAATAAATGTAGGTGATGCGCGACCAATAAAGCAGCCGCCGCGTCGAGTTCCGTTCCACCGGCAGGCGGATATGGATAAAGAGATAGAGCCGGACCATTTGGTCGCGAAGAGACGAGTCATCGAACCAGGGAGCGGAGCTTGGGCTTCACCGGTCGTGTAGTGGCCAAGAAAGGATGGAAGCGTCCGATTTTGTATCGACTACCGAAGGGTTAACCGCGTAGTTCGAAAGGACGTTCCCTCTCCCCAGAATGGACGACCTACTTGACGCGTTGGGCGGAGCGTACTGGTTCGCCACATTAGATTTAGCAGCAGGCTACTGGCAGGTAGAGATGGACGAGAAGTCGAAGGATGTCACAGGATTCTCCACGAAGGACGCTTTGTGGCGTTTCAGGGGTGATCCGTTCGAATTGTGCGACGCCAACGGCGACCTTTTCAGCGACTAATGGGTAGTGGTCCTGCGAGGCTTGCTTAGGCCGGAAATGCTTAGTTTACCTGGATGACATCATCATCTTTGGAAAGACGTTCGAGGAGATGCTCGAGAATCTTAGAGACGTCTTCGACCGGCTGAGAGCAGCAAATCTAAAATTAAGCCAGCAAAATGCCATGTATTTCGCGACGACAGTTAAATATCTTAGGACACATAGTGACGGGAGGAGGATTAGAATGTGACCCAGCCAAAATAGAAGCAGTAGCAACTTGGCCGACACCACAATCAGTGAGGGAGACTCGGAGTTTTCTAGGACTCGCGTCGTATTACAGGCGATTCATAACTGGATTTTCTACGATAGCAGCGCCTCTATCAGAGTTGACGAAAAAGGGAGTTAAATTTAGCGTGGGAGAGGACGAGGAAAGAGCGTTCGCGGCCAGCTCAAGCGATCGCTGACCTCGGCGCCGATTTTAGCTTACCCGACATCAGAGGACCAATTCATACTGGATACAGATGCAAGCAATACAGGCTTAGGAGCTGTGCTATCGCAGGTGCAGAATGGCGAAGAGAAGGTCGTAGCATACCCAGTCGGACGCTGAACAAAGCGCAGGCGAGATACTGTACAACCAAGAAAGAATTGTTAGCCGTAGTGGTATTCGTCAAACAGTACCACCATTATCTGTGGGGGAGGCCATTCAAAATAAGAACGGATCATGCATCGTTGACTTGGTTGGTCAATTTCAGGGAACCGGAAGGGATGTAGCGCGATGGATAGCATTATTAGATACATACGACTTTGAAATCGAACATCGGAAAGGACAGCATCACCAGAATGCGGATGCATTGTCACGTAAGACAGTAGGGAAATGCCCGAACGAGGACTGCCCAGACCACAGGCATGGAATTGCTATTTCCTGTTTCATTAACACACAATGAAGGAAGGGTTCCAGTCTGGAAGAAGGAGCCGAGAGCATGAGAGTGAGGATGGAAGAGAATATCAATACTTGTGTGTGTGGGGGGGGGGGGAGAAATTCAAACAATGGTGAGAGGGTATGAAAACAATGGTGAGGAGAAACGAAAAGAATACTGGCGAGGAATAGAAACAATGGTGTAAAGCGATGCAAACAATGGTAGGAGAATACTGTTTTACGTCGCGCGAGATTCAAACAGTGTGTATAGCGGTGGCACCGGACCCTCGGGTTCTAGCAGGGTGGCTCCTCCTGCGGAACCGGAGTGTGGGTGATCCATGTTTGTAATTGTATAATTATTTTGTGATGTCTGCTGTTTATTAGTGTGGCGTTTCGTGGTGTTTTGCCGGCTCATAAATTAACGATGTAGATAGTCGAGTCCCTACATGGGGGCAGCCATGTTGGGTTAGCCACTTCCTCTAGCGGCCTTGAGTGGCGCGGGCCGTGTGAACAGCTAGAGAGTGCCGTGTGGAAACACGGTACGCAGTTCTGCGCGGGAATTGGTTGAGGGAGGACTATATAGTGTTGCAGTTCGTCCCGGTAGCCGAGTGAGGGAGGACTCGTCAGGTTGTATGTGTAGCCACGTCCACTCCGTGCGTATGCATGCTGTGGAGTGGCCCGTGAGCTGTGTGTGTGGCGGTTACGGTGACAATTAGCGTACGAGTACCCGTCGTGAGGTACTGTATGGCTCACGGGCGTTTGGGCGTGGCTCTTGTCTCATGGGTGAGAGAGACAGGCGCGTCGGTTAATTGGTGAGTAGGCGCTGTCGTATTGTCCCATCGTTGTGGGGTGAGTACTAGTAGTAGTCGAATATTAAATGGGTTGGTTTAATATTCCTAGACTAGAGTACGGGTATTGAGGAGTATTAACTCTCGTGCACGGCTGTACGGGAGGAGAGGCCGCCGGTTACTGTAGGCCTTGGCCCGGCTGCGTTCGTAGTTCATTCTATTTGTTTAACCTCTGTGCTTACCCGGGGTGTGCACTTGTTATTCAACGTAACGTATAAGGCCGGCAGGCAGGGGTGGGGTTACCCCGTTGTAGTGTCTGTGGTGTGTGTCGCCCCTCGTCTGGCATGGTTGACTAACTCTACGACGCACCGAACCGGAACACGGCGGAACAGGTTATTGCGAGAGCGCAGTAGCCTTGAAGCGCTCGAGTGGCTAGCAGGGTCCGGGTGGTGACGATACGGCCAGTTTCAACGCCTCCGGGCACAGCAGGTGAGTGAGAAGCACTAAGGTTGTTGCTAGTCACTAAGTGTCGACCGGTGGCGCCATCGGGTGTCGCCGGGAGACACGAAACGCTACAGGCGAATAACATACTGGTTTAGGTGCAAAACGAACTCAACAATGCAAGAGAAACGAGAAGGAATGCGCGGTTTTACGCAGCGATGAATACAATCGGGAATGACACACAGAATACTCGCGTAAATGGAGATTCTAACAAGGATGGGACAGAACACTGTTTTGCTTTACCTAACACTGCATCCCTTCCTCCCTGGCTCAATGCCTGCCTCCATGTATGTTTGTATGTCTGTCTGCTTTTCTGTCTATCTGTCTCCCTGCATGCCTGCTTACCGGGCTATTTGCCTGCCTGCCTGCCTGCTTGCCTTCACATACTTGGGTAATCATATAATTATAACGTAGTATAATGGCTATACTGTCAGCAACGCGCCCGCCGAGAGACCGGTCACATAGATTGTATTGTGTGTATTGTGCATTAGTCTGTGATACGGTGGTGTGGATGATCGTTTTGCATGTAAAAAATAAATGTATAGCCGTTTAATAGAGCAAAATCTACTTGAAGACTAACATTTGACCTTCTAGATTCAGGAATGTATAATTAAACTCCAGTCCAAATATTAGAATTAACGATAGAGACGTTTCAATGTTACAACGTTACACATCCACGGTCGGTTACCACAACCAGACTTAGTGTACCGCTTCATTCGCTGGGCGGCGCCACCATTCAATTGCATTACACTATTTTGGCGTTTCTATTCGTCCAGTCTGTGTATAATCGTTTCATTTCTATGTATTAATTCTACCCTAAACTTGTGCCCTAACATTGATTGTGTATTTACTTATTAAATAAGCGAAAACACCGAGTCACTAGCAGCTAGTATACTAGGCCCAGTAAAGTTTGTTATGCACATATTTTTGCTGTTGGCGACACATTGCTATATACCTGCATGGCGCAAATTTATATATCGCAAGGGTGCGTATCTGTCCCCTCTTACGTAAAAATGGTTGCCAGACTCACGCGGGTGATAGTGCAAACGCGCAGATCATCTGATACTAGGCAGGTTGGCCGGCAGCTGCAGAGGCCTGATAGTGTATACCCAGCTTAAGGTCAATTGGAAATTTTGGTTCAGTCTGTGTTTAATGTTAAAGTTAGTGTTCATTGCCTAGTTTACTACGACAGATACCACATGCACAAAGCCACCGCTGTCTTCAAGAATTCAGCTGCAGTTACTTTATGAGTTGATGATGGCTATTATTGAAAGTTTTAATGTTCTTATGATATTTTGCAAGCACACATGTATCTGTGCTGGTATTCACTGCACTCTGAAAATTTATAAGCAGAACAATAAAAAATAAGAAAGATAGCAGCAGCAGGTTCTTGAGTGTCTGTACCTGTATTTTCGCAGTTACTGTTTTGTATAATGCTGCATTTAATCGGTTGCATGTATGGCTGATCAATTTTATATTATCGAATTTATGATACAAGAAGGTAGCTCGAACGTTTCCCTATGCGTCGTACACATACATGCGTGCATGCAGCACAACACGACTAAGGTACAAGATAAGACAACGCTAAGACAATTTGCTTGTATACATTCTCATTTATTCGCAGAACTAACCCGCGTACTGACAATGGCAAGGCGTCTTATACACACACTGCAGCCTACAACAGTGGCTCCATCTCTCGTCCAGTAGAACAAACTTTGCACTGGCGCTCAAACAATGGTTGGAGAATACTGTTTTACGTCGCGAGATTCAAACAGTGAATAACATACTGGTTTATAGGTGCAAAACGAACTCAACAATGCAAGAGAAACGAGAAGGAATGCGCGGTTTTACGCAGCGATGAATACAATCGGGAATGGCACACAGAATACTGGCGTAAATGGAGATTCTAACAAGGATGCATGGGACAGAACACTGTTTTGCTTTCCCGAACGCTGCCCTTCCCTTCCTCCCTTGCGCGCAATGCCTGGCCTCCATGGTAATGTTTTGTACCCTGTCTATCTTGTTCCCTGCATGGGCCTCTTACCGGGCTATTTGCCTGTCCTGCCTGCCTGCCTGCCTGCTTGCCTTCACATACTTGGGTAATCATATAATTATAACGTAGTATAATGGCTATACCGTCAGCAACGCGCCCGCCGAGAGACCGGTCACCTATCGTACGCGACCCGGGAGCTCCGCGCGCCGGGCCGCTACCCGAGGCCACTCTACCTAGAGCTGCCAGCATCAGGCCGCAGAACGTCGCACGGAGACCCGTGGTTCTTACGATCAGGGTAGAGGACGAAACGACGCGTCGCTCTCTCACGGCGGACGCCCATCGCTGCGCGAACGCGCGGCTGGTAGCGGCCCAGAGGGGGAGCCACCGCGGCGTCCGTCCGCGGTGTCATAAATAAAAAATAAACTCCCTAGTACCTACTCGCTACACGCTACGTCTACATGGCATCCTCAGCGTTATCATATCACACACGACACACAAACTAGCGCGTCGTCGGGACCTCAGGAAAAAGCGACAAGGTGGCGCCATCTACTGTATGTATCCGGCAACTTCCTCGCGCAAAAGGCAAATTTAACGTGGAAATTCTCAACATTGAAGTAACTAGTATGCTATATATATGCACTCCTGTTTGTGTTAACATGTATATGTGTGCATGTGCGTGTGTGTGTGTGTGTCTGTGTGCGTGTGTGTGCACGTGTGCGTGCACGGGCGTTTGTGTGTGGGTATGAGCGAGTGTCTGTGACTGTGTATATATATATATATATATATATTACCGAGTGCCTACTATACCACGAAACACGTGTGGTAGCTGGCAAGCAACTGTTTTCGCCTAAATGTACACGCCGAACAACACACATGCAATTTAAACAGCAACATTACACTTGTAACATTGTAATGCTACAGCCTTAACAGGTCAAAGGAACACTTATAACATTGCAATCTAAAGCATGTAACATTGCAACGCTACACTTGTAAATAATACTCTACCTGCAACATCGCAATGCCACACTGTTACCACGGCAACCCTACACCAGTAACACAGTTCACCGCTCTATTGTTGCTACGGCAACACCACGCCAGTAACATTGCATGCCACTACAACACTGCATCGCTAACAGTCGTTACCACGGCAACGCCACGCGCGATAAACAGCGATGTTATGCTGTTACCACGGCAACGACACGCGCGTGCGACGCTGCAATGTTACCCGCTCGAAGCTGTCACTTGATGAGGGTCACTCCGTCCTCGCCTGCACGAACCACAAACACTGTCGATAACCAATCGATCGATCATCGATCGTAACGGGTGAAATGCGGCGCGAGAATCGGCGCCCGTCTAGCTGCCTGACGCGCGCGCGCATGCGTGGCACCCCCGTATTGCATTGTGGGACGCATGCGGCCCCCTGTCTTCCCTGAGCGCTCGAAACACGGCCCTGATTGACGGACGGACGGACCGACTGACCGACCGTCCGACGGAGCGCCCAAGCTACGGCGGCGTCATGCCGACAATACACGTCTCCACCCATCGTCACACCTTCCTATCCCTGACCCACACCGCAGAGGGAAGGGTGGGGGGATTGGGTAAGGTTAAAGTGAAGGGTGTGGCGAGGTGAGGGGTGCAGTGGTACAGCAGAGAGAGAGAGAGAGAGTGAGAGAGAGAGAGAGAGAGAGAGAGAGAGAGAAAGAAAGAGAGAAAGAAAGAGCGAGAGAGAAAGAGGAAGTATTAGGGTCTACGGAGGAGGCACTAGGGTCAAAGCGAGGTCAGGGAGGAACCCGAGTGGTGCAGTAATGAGATATGCAATCTGGTGAGAGTAAGGGGAGAGGAAATTAAGGGGAATGGGAGAACGAGTGGTTACCGCAGGCGCGGAGCATGCTGTCGGCACGACGACGCACGAGACGTTGAGCTAGAGGCGCCATCTACTGGCGGGCGATAGATCTCGCGACGATCGCAGCCCGTCGCTCAGGGCCGTCATCCCGGCGACCGCCGCGCTGCCACCCAGTGGCCGCGCCTCGAAATAATACTACTTCGCCGCGTCGCAGCGCCCCCTGGCGGAGCGTGCCGCGACCCGTTCGTTCCGTCCGTCCCTCTCCCGTTCCTCTCTTCACGGTCCTCCTCTCTCTCGCCTCGATCGCCGCCACCCCCGGGGGTGGGGGGGTGGAATCCGCCCGCCGGGGGAAGCAGCGCGCGCTCACGCAGGAGGTGCTGCCCTCTAGGCGGGCAGTGGCGCCCTCATGATGGACTTTGAGGCGACGACGATTCCGCCGGGGCCGGCGAGCGACGTCCTTCGCATGAGTTCAAGGTCGATCTGTCGCGCTGCCTGCCGACCCTCGTTGATGGCGTGCACGACGAGCGACTGACCACGCCTGCAATCTACAGCAGCAGATAGCAATTGTTATATACACGCACGCACGCACGCACGCACATATATATATAGATGCATGCATCATTATTATTATTATTATATATATATATATAATACAATATCTATAACATAGAGATGTCCTCACTGAAAACTTCCGATGAGCATGAGCCGAGAGTTATAATAACATATAATTACGTATAATAACACTTGTATATAAATCGTGTATATAATATGAAGCGTTGGATATATGTAGGCCGGCCTATTGCCTATGTACATATATTACGTATCCAACACTTCGGCAGTCACAGCAGAATGGTGTCAGGGTCACACTAGAGGCTGTGTTGCAGCCACATATTTATATAGAGTAACACTGCGCACGATCATCCGCGCTCGCTCGCTCTGCCTACCTCCGGCGGCGTAGACGCGCGGCACGTTGGTGCGGTACTCTCCCGGCGGTGTTTTCATGTTGGAGCGCGCATCGCGACTGATGTGCAGCTCGTCCAGTACGGCCTGCTCCGGTCCCAGGAAGCCCATAGCCAGCATGACGATGTCCGCCGTGTACACGTGCTCCGAGTCTGCGGGAACATGAGCCGCGGCGGGGGGTCAGATGTGAGCAGGGGAGAGGTAAGACGCACGCGGGGTCAAGAGGTAATACGCACGCGGGGTCAAGAAGTAAGACGCGCGCGGGGTCAAGAGGTAAGACGCACGCGGGGTCAAGAGGTAAGACGCGCGCGTGGCAGAGCGTCCTACGTAACGCCACCTAGTGGCCACCGGTAGTATCGAAATAATCAAGGTGTGAACTTGATTAGGCACGCAGGTGTATGTGAACACATATAGGAACATGAGAGAGAATGAAAATGGAAGACACATCATGCAGTGTGAAAGTCGCGCACCGAGGTGTAACACACGCACATGCACTCATCCCATCTGCTTTCTCGATCGTCACACCAATCGTGCAGATCGACAGATGCTCGCACGCTCCTGCGCGCGAGCGGTGGCGCCACCTACCTTCGACCTCATTCATGTTGTAGCGTCCCGTCGCGAGGTCCTTGGTCCACTCCACCTGCACCGTGCGCACGCCGGCGACGCGGCCTGTGCCATCGTCCAGGAACTCCTGTTGCACGGAAAACACGGCAGCGTTAGAGACTGGTGGCGCCACCTGACTCTCCTAACCCCTCACCTGCACCCCTCTCTCCTTCCCTCCCTTCACTTTGCCCACACATTAATTTGCTCAGCACGCTGAAGATGCGTGGGTCCTTCCCCTGGTGTGTATACACCTCCTCACCTTTCTCCCACCCCTCACTTCCAGCACCCCTTACCTCTCCCTCCCTCCCTCCTGCACCCCTCTCATCTCCTCCTCGTCCTCTTCTCCCACACCCCTTTCCTCTCCTCCTCATTCCCCTTCCTCCCCTCCCGCACCCCCTCCATCTCCTCCTCGTCCTCTTCTCCCACACCCCTTTCCTCTCCTCCTCATTCCCCTTCCTCCCCTCCCGCACCCCCTCATCTTCCTCCCGTTCGCACTGTAAGTATAGGCGACGCGTAATTACGCAACGTTGTAAGTTTGACTTACAATGCGGTTTTGGATTTGTTGTGAAGAGAATCCCGTGACGCACGTCGGCGCGTCTTTCATCACAGCAACACGACATTAGCATCTCTCGCGGCCATCGATCACTTGCCCGTGTGACTGCGTCGTAAGGCCGGTGTAGAACAGAGGGAACAGCATATAGGGGACAGAGAGAGAGAG